CTCTAGAAAGCAGAGTAACAATCAGAATATCCTCAAAACATGAAAGTCCAACTTTGAGCCCCTGTAGATCCATGAAGGTTGGACCTAGAGAGCTGTGGTGTTCAGGATTTTCATTTTTCATTGTGATCTTGAAGAGTAAATGGTTATTTTCAATTTCATTTTTTGGGCCTGCAACACCTGTTGTGGAATAGCCCATTTATATATTGTTTCCACACCACTCCTTCCATTCCTTCCTTTTTTAAATTATATGACACTTACAACGTAAATTATACTGATGAGTTCTGATTTTCACATTTCCATATAGCGTGTTGTTATGGGAATTACAGGATAGTAAAAAATATTTAGAAAATAATATAGATCCATCTTTAATAATAAACGAAACTTTTAATACTCCTCTTCGCATATCATCAAAAGTCCGAAACAAGCGTATAATTAATCTTCTACTAGAAAATAGAGCTGACATACACTTGTATAATAAAAATGGAATAATACATTTCTCATAATTTATGAATTTTACGACCCTTTTGCTCTTTTGAATGTTTTTTTTTTTTTTGATACAACTATTTATCATCAACAAAATTTCAACGTACATACAACCGACTTATATGGAAATACAGCATTGAATTTAGTATTACAACCTGCATAAAACAACACTACAAAATTTGTAAATTTATTATTAGGAAATGGTCGTTGATTCAGACAATTCATTCTGTCATTATACAGGGTGCGACAAAAGTATGGAAACCCCTGGAAATATCTCAGAATATTAGTTAAAAAAAAATCAAAGACCACATATCAGACGTTTTTTTCGACGAGGAATCCGATGGTGACCTTGAATTTGCCCTTGGACGTAACCTTGAAGCCTCAGCAACCCAAAAATCGATTTTTCAAACGGATACCCCCATTTTTTATTGTAGATTTGAAAAGAGCGGAAAATTTTACGTTGAAACATGTATTTTGTTTTTTTTTCAAGGTCATTTTAACCCATTAACGACCAAAATGCTCGATTTTTTTGTTGGTTTTCGGAGCGATTTTTTTGTAGTTTGAGGCCTCCAAAAAGTTTCGTATGGACATATTTCGATGTAAAATTTAATGTCTTTTCAGAAACTGAGCTCAAAATTTCGATTCATTGCGTAATAAAAAATTTATGGCTACTTATACGAAAAAAAACGTAAAATTTTTTGCAAAAAATCAAGTTTTTGATTTTTTTTCACCATGTTACGTTAGGGAATCACGATTTAAGTATGATCAGGGGTAATCACGACTATCAAAGCATTTCAGAGAATTTTTATGGAATTTTTGAACTCTTTTTCTAACTTTGGTTTTTTGCACTTTTTCTCTAAATTCAGTAGTTTTCGAGTAAAAATAAGTTATGTTTTATATGAATATAAGTTCTTTTTTGTTTGAAGTAGTGGTTCGAAAATTCCATAAAAATTACCTGAGATACTTTGATAATCTTGATTACCCCTGATTATATTTATATCGTGATTCCCTAACGGTAACATTGTGAAAAAAAAATCGAAAACTTGATTTTTTGCAAAAAATTTTACGTTTTTTTCCGTATAAGTAGCCATAACCTTTTTATTACGCAAAGAATTGAAATTTTGAGCTCAGTTTCTGAAAGGGCATTAAATTTTACATCAAAATAGGTCCATGCGAAATTTTTTGGAGGCCTCAAACTTGGACCTCAAAGGGCGTTACAGACGCAAATGAAGCCCCCATTTAACCTTAAATTAAGTTCGAATTAGGGCTTTTTTTCTTATTATACTGTCTCCAATATGACCTTAAAAAAAAACAAAATACATAGTCGAATGTGACATTTTTCGCTCTTTTAACCCGTTAACGCCGAGCCAGACAGAATTATTTTCTCTATTGTAGTATGCAACCGGCAAAGTATTATATTATTATTTTCCCTTATCATTTTTTTAATCTGCTTGTTCTCTTATTTTCATGGATAGTCATCATCTAACTTTAACCGAAAGAACATTGTGCAAATACGAACTTAGTCACAGTCGCAGTTAACTGTTTGAATAAAAAAATTTGAGATAATGATTAATGATTTTTTAATAAGAACATTATAACGCAATGCGCGATCGGGCATAGTTAATATCACATGTTTAATAACTTATAAATAAGTTTGGATTCCGGCAAAGTATTGTATTGTTTTCATAAATCAACGTGACCGATTCATTGTAAAGCTTTACGATTCGATTATAATAAGTATTAAAACATCAAAATTTTCTGAAAAGTGAAAATTCTGAGAGTGAACTATTGTAGTAGGGCGCAAGACCTTTCCGAATCACCAGACAGATTTTGGTTAAAATTTTTTTTCGCTGAGATCTCGTGGTTGACACAAGTGCACAATTTCTCATGCGTATGCAAAAATATCGCGAAGTAGCGCCCGAATTAAAAATCGATAAAGAGCTCTAAATTTTCTGAAAAGTGAAAATTCTGAGAGTAAACTATTGTAGTACGGCGCAAGACCTTTCTGAATCACCGGACAGATTTTGGTTAAAATTTTTTTTCGCTAAGATCTCGTGGTTGACACAAATGCAACGATTTCACACGCGTATGTAAAAAATCGCAAAATAGCGCCCGAGTTAAAAATCGATAAAGAGCTCTAAATTTTCTGAAAAGTGAAAATTCTGAGAGTGAACTATTGTAGTACGGCGCAAGACCTTTCCGAATCACCGGACAGATTTTGGTTAAAATTTTTTTTCGCTGAGATCTCGTGGTTGACACAAGTGCAACAATTTCTCATGCGTATGCCAAATTTGAAACCTATCCTTAAAACGACACTCCAGTAAATTATTGAATTAGAGGATGAATTTTCCGGGAAATCGAAAATTCTAAGAGTGAACTATTGGAGTAGAGCTGTATACCTATCGAAATCTTGTTTCAGAATTTCGATCGGTCAAGTATTCCGCGAGATCTCGTGGTTGACTCATGTTTGATTAAAAATTTAGAAAAAACGTGATTTGACTGTAAAAAAACTTTGGATTGTCCAATTTTTTGAACCAATGCACCAAATCATCCAAAAATTTGCATGGGTTCATGATTTTGGATCCCCTATCGACCATTCAAAAGGGTGAAAAAAATGGAAAATAAGAGAAAAACCATGTTTTTCGCTCTATCGAATGCCATGGGATTGTCTCTAATGCTCAACCGATTACCAAAATTTACCTAAAATTGTAATTTGGCCTTTCTATGAACATATTACAATTCTGGCCTATTCGCTGGAGACGAACAACTTTATTTTTGGTCTTATATGATATTTTTCCATTTAAAGGGTTTTTAGGCTATAAATATGATTTTTGAGTACAAATTTGAATTCCTCATCAAATTTTACACATAAAAACATGATTCAACCATTTTTTCAAAATCACCTCAGAAAAGTAGAATTAAATTTAAAATTTGAATATCCAACTTTGAGCCCCTATAAATCCATGAGGGAAGGAGCTAGAGGGCTAAGATTTTTTGGATTTTCATTTTTCAATGTAATCTTTAAGAGTACATAGTTAGTTGAAATTCGATTTTTTGAGCTATTAACTCTATTATGATATATGACCCATATACATAAGACAAAACTATCACAATACCAACATCTAAATATGGCCTTTTAAAAATATTTTTTTTTGGTAGATTTTGGGTTAAATGTCCATTTTTGAGGTAAATGTGGACTAAAAATATTAAGAACAGAAATTTTTAAACTATAAAATTATTAAAGATAAACCCTTTTCCTCATTGAAAAATAAAATGTATATCGCCCTAACGGGGGGGTTGGCGAGCGGAGCGAGCAGGGGGGCGCAGCCCCCCTAGTATATGTATATACGAAATAAAGTCTAAAATGCACCATTATATACGTACGCAGCTTAATAACTCAAAAAAGTCATGCAGACTCGAAGTTAATTTACTGGAACGCTTTCACTGTATGCGTGTACGCGAGTAGCTCCGGCGAGGCCTCGCGATACAAAAATTTCGAAGCGTTGCCGGCCGTCGCGATTATTATTATAATAACACGATTCAGCACCAAACTCGTGCATTAGCGATCATTTGTACACTTGCGCAATACCGATGTATAGGGTGGGGCATAAACCCCTGGAGATCTTATAGAATAGACGGGGGGGAAATGAAAAAAAACCACCACCTACGTATTTTTTGACAACAAATTCAATGGTGGTATTTTGAACATATAATGACTAATCAGTTGATCTGTGCTCATTTAGCGGTTTGCACATTTTATTTAAGAATAAAATGCAACTTTTCATTGAATAGTTTAATCGGTTGACCATTTGAGACAATTTGGTAGCAGTCGAAAAATGGAAAAACATGGCTTTTCTCTCATTTTCATGAATCTTCGGTCTAGCTGAATAATTTAAAATCGAGCTAGATTTCCAGATCAGAAATCCTGCTGAATAACTTGAAATCAAGCTAGATTTCAAAGTATAAAATCTAGCAGTATTTCCGTCCTAATTATAATTGAACGATTAACCAACATTTAGAATATAATCCGAATCGGTGAATGTGAGATTTTTCAAATTGGTTAAAAATTAATTAAAAATTTATTAAACAATTAATTAAAAATTATTTAAAATTTTTAAGGGTAGTGAAGAATTCATTATCATAATTTTAATACCATTTTTTGTATTTCTGAATTGTTATTAGAAATTTGTTAATAATTATGTTGGCCATGACGCATTTATTAAATTAACAATAAATAAAAATTGTATCAAAATTGAATACTAATTGCAAATATTACATAAAAGTAACCTAAGTAATAACCCATTTGCAGCTTGGTTTAATAATTTGCCAGCATGATGCTTTTCAGCATTCCTTAATTGATATTTTTTTTATTGAAAAAAAAAAAGGAATAATTTGAGCTTAATAAAAGCTATAAGTTGAGTCATTTATTTTTATTTATAGGTATAATTCTACTAATCAAATGAATAAATAATAAGAAATGAATTTATTAATTCAAGAAATTGAAGACAAGAAAAATATGTAATTAGTACTTTTTATTTTTCATATAATGTAGAGATTTATAAAACTATGTACAAATTTTAGTTAATTATATTTGATAACCAATTTTTAGTTGTATCAAACTAACTAATAACTTGAGTAATATATAAACATATTAATCATTGATTTATTTTTTTTTGGTAAATTTCAAGTAACGAGACTCATCAAAATCATCTTCGATGTCATCTACAATTTTAACTTTAGTCCTTGGTATTCGCTTTAACAATCTTGCTTTCTTTTCAGCTTCTGTTAGTGTGTTAAGATCTAAAGGTAATTTGATTACACCTACAGGTTCATGATATGGTATCATAATAGTACTTCCATCAGGATATTGTAACAATGTTGGATAACTTTTAATTAAGTGTTTAACAACTCTTCTTGTGATGTGAACAGGTTTTCCTAAAACTACCGGGCTTGATTTCTGTGTAGGTTTTTTTACAATAGTTGCTGTAGCAGCTGTAGCAAGATTTCTTGATAGCCCAATGGAAGGTATGATTTCAGAAATTGGTTTCAACAATAACAGTACCTTCAATACCATTTTCTAGAAATGAGAAAAAGTGTTTGTTAAAAGCAGTTCTTTATTCTTAGTCTACAATCCAAAGATTTGAAAATATATGAAAAAAACTATCAATTTGTTTTTACTGTCATTAATAAATTGAAATGAATTTAATTCTTTATTTTTTTGTCATTTTTTCATGAATTAATTTTGAACTGATGATTTTTCATGTTATTTTAGCAATTAAAACTCAAAAGTTTATGTCAATATAATTGGTTCGATTTGACAGGTTATGTAAATTTGCTATCCAACACTTTGCTAAGTTTCTAATAATTATTTGTATGCAAAACACAGTTAATGTGCGTTTGATACTTAATATTTTAAAGTTATCTTTAATATCAAACAAAAATAATTCATTATCACTCACTGTTCTTTCAAAAAAACATCAAGTATAAACATAGACAGCAAAATTTTTGCCGAATTCTAGCGTACGATTACACGAATATGTAAGGCCATATGCGCATGTCCACCAGATTGCTTCTGCTATGACTGGTGACATTTAAACTAGCGGATATTAATTAAGGTATTGTTAAAAATGCTACGAAATTTTTGAAAATCTAGTCTAGACTGTGCTTGAAATTTGTCTGAATGTCAACAACAAATAAATATTGGAAACATTTTTAAGCTAGTTTACAACAGTATACAATTAACATTTTGCATCTTACCTTTTACATTTAACTCGAAAAGATTTACTTCGGTGTCAACATTAGTGTTGCAAACAAATTCGAGAAAAAATTAGATTGGGGCAACGAGTCCGTTTGTTGAAATTTTCCCATAATGATAGTCGGAACAAGTGATGACATAATTTTTTTTAAATTATCAGTATAAAAATAGATATCACAAAAGTTTTAACGCATAGAACGATCGCCGTACAGATGAATAATCAATTGTAAATTGTGAATACAATAAATGTAATTGAAATAGTGTTTGTTGTTTAAACTTTATTTGTCGACTCGGTGCTGCTGCTTGGGCATTCTTCTTGTGCAGACGTTGCATGACACTCACCAGTTATCGATTCGTAGCTGTTACGATCCCTGCGAAAATCAAATTCTCTTTCTGCCCTTGGTTGATCTTGTTATTGAATATCTAGTACTATTATTATGATTATATTTGTAGCTAAAGTACTACTGTTGAAAGTCTTTAAGTCAAGTATTAAAGAACGGATGAAAATTAAAATGTTTTTGAGGTATAGATTTTTATACATATGTAACTGGAACATTTTCTCTTAAATAATTTTCTGATGAGTGCAGTAGTACTTTCACACAAATTATAACTAGTTAATAAAAACACCAAAAAGTATTTTCTAAAATGTATCATGCTTTTTTAACCAAGCAAGTTTATGTGTATTTGAGCCTTAATTACATCAAATCAGACATGTGCAGTTATTTTTATATATTATTTATTTGTCCTTTTCTGATATTCTACCTGCATTGTATTTGTGAAAAATAATTATTATATCTTGGAAGCAATTTTTGACGTGTAGATTCCTTAACTACCATGCAAGTTGGCAAAGTATTCTATGGGTCAAATCTTTAAGCTTCAATCATTTCTGTTTATACCTTATATGTATTTTCATGCAACATATCCAATAGTTACACGCTTGTCATATCATGATCAGCTCTCACCTTAAACTTACATTGTAAAATTTATGAAGAACTTACTACATAAGAGTGACTGAACCAGATATCAAAATTAAAATTACAAATTACTTAATGAAACAAGCAGGACAAAAAGCAGGATTTATGATTTTTTATTTTTTAAATTATTCATTTGAAGAAGGCAACATTTTTTATAAAACTTTATTTTTCTAATAGCTCATGCAGTTTAAACTGCAATTGTTTATTTTCTAATCAAAATTAATGATATCCACTTTATAAAAATGCTTGGTTAACAACTATATAATCTTCATTTCTTTAATCATTGTAAAAATGTAATGATATTTTGATCATCAAGTTAGAGTATTATTTCAAGACTATAATCTCAAACAAGTTACTATTTATATTTACAAATTCAATATTATTTTATGTAAAATACTTTAAATTTAACACTATTATTAACATTTCTACTCTGATTATTTATTTAACAAACCTACATAATTAAAGAAAGTTAACCAATAATTTACAAGCAATTGTAGTTAGAAAAATCGCTGCAGGATTTTTCTGTATGTTCCAAATAAATTTAATGGAACTAGTTTTCTCTGACTTTAGTTTTATTATTCTCCAACTTGGTCATCTCAAATATCTCAAGACCAATACCCTTTCTTTGAATGAGTATGAGTAATACTTTGCAAGTATTTAATGAAATTACATTTTCTATCAAAACAGAAAATGAATTTTTTTTAAGTACGCAAGCTTTTCAAAAAAGCATTAATTTATCATCCCTGATGATGCAATCTTAAAACTGCTCCTTCCACTGCTTATATGCTGCCTGTGAGATTGATCACTTTTTCATTCCCATTCCTGAAAATGAAAAACTCTAGCTCTACCTTACAGTTGAAAAAAAAATCATTCCTCCAAGTTGCCCTTACATACTTGTTAGAAGAAGCTTCCAGATGATGAAAATGAATTCAATATATTTAGTAGAACCTAACACCTATTATTATTATGAAATTTAATGGATAAGAGATCAAAAAAAGACATTTTAAATAATTTAAAACCAACAAATACTGAATAGGTAAAAAATCAGTTAGAATGCAATTATTATATGATAACAAAACTTGCTTGTGCATCCAAACAATTTCTTGATTAAATGTCTTTCATTGATTCATATTGCGTAATAACAGATCAAGAAATTGAATAGCGATCGTGACTTTCAAAAGATTATTGTATTAAAGTGAGAAATAGCTCAGAACAAAATTCACCAAACGCTGTGTTTCAAGGTTTATTTAAAATATCTTATTTTCTAACTACTTTTTGGTATCATAATTATAAGCTAAATATGTTAAAATTTGCAATATTTAACAGAATATAAATATAATAAGTAATCCAAAAAAAAAGAACTATCACAGAGGAGAACATGAGTCTTGCATTTCATACAATATATAAATTTTAAAGCAGATAATGAATAAAGCTTTAGCAAGAGATGTACCCAGCATCAACTAGTAAAATTTATGTTGTGCATTTACAATGAAAGCGGTTACTTATTAGACAGTAGTTTCTTGATGTAATGTGCTTATATTTTCATACCTGTATAAAATATAATGTTGTACTAAGAAGAATACGTCAAATGCTACTGAGAAAAATCCTAGACCAAATTTGGTAGGATCTCCAAAAAGACTTTTCCAATCATCTAAAATTTAATTTTATCATTATTAACAGTACTAAAAAAGTAAAAGTATTGCATATTGCATGTGTAAATATATAATAATACCATAGTTATAGGCGTTAAGAATCATCTGTAGCATGGACAGGATACCTCCAGTAAAGTCTAAAAATATATTACCAATGCTCCATCCAACAGTTGACTTACGCTTGTAGTTGTAAAAAGCTTGTGGTACATATTTAATGAGTGTGATTGATAATTTTACATAACTGCAGTAATATAAAAAGTCAAGCCAACAAATCTGATTCAAAATAGCCAGAATCATTGAAGCAACTATAAATATTGTAAATATCCCATGAATGATACGAGCTGTTGAAGACACTCTTTGGTTACCAGTCTGCAATGATACATAAAAATAAGTATATCTCAGACCATTTTAAAGTTTAAATTAAAGATTTCATCTAATCACTTATTAGAACTGTAAATTTAATCAACTAAAAATGATCATCACACCATTGTATAATAAGATAGTCTCACCTCATATATGAAGCATTGGAATATTGTTATTAAAGTAGCAAATGTAGCATGTAATGCAAAGAAGATATCATTGATTTGAACAGGGTTCAATCCTTTTGGATACCTCGCGAAATACTCTTGCTGTAATAAAGTAAAGAAAATTATTATAATCGTGAAATGGTGAAATAGTTATTTTTTAAAGAGCGTAAAAAATGAAATGGTACCTCAATTTGTGGTATCCAATAAAGTCCGCAATTGAACAAAGCGTACATGATAAAACCGACAATGTTTAATGATAAAAAGTCGAAGTTCAGACCTTCGACACTTTTCCTTTTGTAATTGGTGTAAATTTGCGGATAAAAGCTCACGCTCCATGCCAAAAAATATACCCATCCTACTACTTGGCTTATATGGTACAAAGTAGTCGATCGTTCCACGGTCACACGAACAAATGCATCAGAAAAACTGTAACATTAAAAAATTAATCAGTTTAACTTAGATGTAAAGTAGGCACTAAATTTTCAATTATAAGTGGGTTTTTCAATGTTGATACAAAATGGTTTGTCTATAGAATACATAATTTTCCAAGAAATTTTCATTATAATATGAATGTTCTATTTTACACCATTAAAATGAAATTTTTAGATACAAAGATATTTTGAAAATATTCAAAGAAAATAAAAAACTTACTTTAGGCCTTCTAATGATTTTAATTCATCCCTTGGAATGATTATAATTTTATACGGAGACATAATAAATATTTACAAACTTATTTAAAGTAACATAAAGAATTTAAATGTTTTCGATTAATAATAACTTATACTATTTCGCGGTTACGGAATAGAAATTTACAATTGTATCCCTACTAGGAGAGATCCGATTCGTCCGAAAGTCTTATGCAAACTAAAGCTAAGTGTCACTCAGGGAAGTGTTGCGGCGTGAAGGTCACAAGGTTATCAGTTTTATCTCTATAAAATTCCTATGCAAAAAAGTATCGTAAGATACCTGTTGACACCCTTACTGTCGATCCGTGATTCGATAGTAAGGATAATAAAATGATAAAAGATTCTATCCAAAAATTAATCGTAACATTTATTTACACGGCATGATTTTGAAAATATATTCATAGTAATTAATTTTGAAAAACACATAATTGCATTTAAAAACGATTAAACCTTTTAAAATCACGGGTTAGAATTAGATTTTTCGAGACCTGATTGCTATATTTTTTTTCGTAGATGCTAATGAATTTCCATTTATTCTTTATTTTTGACGTGCTGTCAATAACACAATAAATATTCCGCTTGTACTATTCCATTAAATGTAAGATTACATGTATCACATTATAATGCTTACAAAATATGCGATACTCACGTGACTTGTATTGATATTTTTAATCAATATACTTCAAGTTTAGTGAACTCGTCAAATTTCTTTGATTTGTATAACTTTCCGAATCATTTCCGAATAAAACTTAACTTTTTTTTGAGAGCCAATTACTGATAACCGTTTGTTATAAAAGGTAAAATAGGTAAAATTTACAAATCATTATTGAGACTTTATTACGGTTTGTTATTTATACGGATATTTTTCATTGTCTGTTAAACATTTATTACCCGAAAATCGAATCATAATGCTAGAGTTTTATTTTTTCTTTTGTTTTTTTGAAGATACTTAATTGTTTTTCACTTACTCTGATTCTTGAAGCTCAGTTATATTGGCACTGATTACGGAAGAACCAGGGTTGGTGCCAATGACTGTAATTGTCCAATTATTTTGATTTTTACCAGCTACGAATACATCCGGTTCTGTTTTCGCGATATCATTATTCAGCGCATAAAACGACACTGAATAATCTTGCGAGCGATTTTTATCTCTGAAAACAGTATTGTTTCGTGGTTTATAAAATAATTTATAGTTGGAACAAGAAATTATTGAATAATGTTAATTATTAAAATTAAAACTTACGTAGAATAAAGGTTAAAGCTCTTCTTGTCATGCAGAAGAATTCGCAAATCTTTTTCTTGATTTGCTACTTTGAATTCGGTTTTCACACCGGTTACAACTGTAATGAATTAATTTGATTATCAGTATCAGTGTAATGAATTATTTTGATTATCAGTATAAAAGAAGACTATAAAATTAATTAAAAGATTTGTTTATTTACCTAATAGGAATATAATCCAGAAAGAAGAAATTTTAATATTCATTTTGTAAATTGGTCTGTAATGAAAAATAATTCGTTAAAGTAATGGTCTTTTTTAGGGTTGTTTATTTTAATGAATTAATGTATAAAATATACACATTAATAATATACGTCATTTTTATAAAGAATGCATGTAATCAATAAAAGTGCAAGATTAAAAATTATCAACTATGTGCAGTTAAACATTGAATAATTACTATCAATTTTTACGGAATGGTAATATTTTTAATTTTATACGTATCTATAATCACATCATGTTTCTCACACCTACGAATTGAATATTGAATGTTCTTGCTTATTACATTTAATGAAGAAACGATCGATTAAGAAAGAACTTTAATGAGTCACAATAATTTATCGGTTGTCACTAACCTCAATAGACCCTCGGACTAATTCAATTTTCATACTCTACTCTACGTGAAGCAACTATACAGTGCGATTAATTAGTAATCTACACTGGGTATTTCTCATGGCGATTCAGCCTTGAATGTTCACAATTTACATACGTTGGACTCATGCGTTTTTGTTGATGTTTTGGAGCTTTATATATACATACACACTACATATATTATCTCGATTGTCCGGAGCTCGTGCGAGCAGACGACAAAACCATTCGCGTCCTCCTGCGCAAGCGATTTCGCGCGTCAACATTACCTTTGGTATTTCCAACTACAGCGGTGGCTCGCCGAACTCGGCGAATCGCAACAGATGCAACCACGATCGGTGGTCTATATCGGAACTTTCTTATCATCAATTATCATGAAATTAATTTCCCAGTATCAGATTCACGTGTTTCAACGTTGCCGACGGGTTCACGTGTTTTTATATCGCTATTACTCGTGCTGACATTCGCGAGACAAATTGTTGCCTCGTAATGCGTACTGTCAATTTTTTCATTCTTGTCTCACGCGAACACGATATCGTTTGGTCGGACGGTAATTTGTTCAATGAATTATCTCGGAGTTGGATAGTTTTACGACATTAACGAGTTGGGTTTTCCTTATGTTATAATAGCAGAAAACCCGATGACTGAGCGGGATCTCGCTTGTCTCGCGATTAATGATCAAGTTGCTGAGCTCGTCATTCATTGGAAATTTTAAAATTTTGAGGTACGAGCGATGGCGGGTTTGTCTCATTACAAAATATTACAAAATAAAAAAGTAAACATTTAGAAACCCGAGCTCAAGAGCAAATATTTAACACTTGCAACTGAAGTAGGTTTTTGGGCAATGCTGTCGAGCTTATTTCAAGTTTTAGAAAAGTAAACGGACCAAGCTGCTTCTTGGAAGGCTCAAGACAACGCGATCGAGGTCGAAATTTGGAGTTAACACGCAAAAAATAACCAATTACAGAAAGACGTTATCGCAGTCTGAACGACGAGCTTGGATAGTCAATTTGGATTTTACAAATTGGTCGCTGCATCGATGAAGGAAACGGCGCCGCAGCTTCGATCTAGATCAATCGCGTTCGGTCGAGGAAATCATAAAAAAAAGAAAAAAAAAGGAAACCGCGACACGCTGACCAGAAAAATAATCCGTGTCAACTATGCGCTCGCTCGCTCGGACGTTATCGCTGTACGTATATCGCAGTACGGCTTGGCCAACTTGGCCGCTCGTGGCCTGCGTGTAAGCGTAATTTTACTGTGTATTTTTTTTGTTATTGTCGCGGCTGCACCGAGCTGGTATTATTGTATTACGCGGACGCGTCTCCGATGCGAAGGTCGTCGCTCCGTCGATGCAGACTGCCTATTATGCGCTACGTGAGATTGCGAACTTATGATACACATAGGAGAAATGCGTGTAGCTACTGCGGCGTCGCGCGTACGTAAACATGCGCTTTGTGGCAAGATTCAACTTTCTCGCTTGTCTCCGTCTGCAGTATGCCATATAATATAAACAATGTGCAGCGTTGAATTGCGCTAAGCGTTTTTATTTTTAAAGACTCTGAAACGCTATATCGGCTGTACCAGTAATGGATTACATTACAATCGCTACGAGCCGTCGACGCTTTCTACCATTCCATCGTTATTCGCGAATGAAAATTGTCGATATTTTCGGTTAGCGAGCTACTTTGCGAGACAGAATCGCAGCGCCATACGTAATGCCGATGCAACGACGTGCTTTTTTTCAAAAATTCGCTTTTCAATGAGAAGAAAAAGAGAGAAAAAATTACTTAATTTGATAGCGATCGTAACGAAGCGATGCGCTTGTAGGTATATAACATGCAGGTATAATGGCAATGCGATATTACGCGAGCGAGCTGCGCATGAATTCGAAAACGAATGCGAAAACCGGTCTCGAGTTTTGGCAATTATTTCTATGCAAAACGAGCTTCCCTGCTGAAAATACTTCATCGGCTTATCAGCTCGCGACCGTAAACCATCGCTGCCTAGAGTTAAATATTCATCCGTCAATTGGCTAATTTTGCAGATAGAAGCGAGAAAAGTCGATCGAATCAACGTGTTCGCCTGGTGCAGCTCGATGGCGCCATTATACGCATTATCGTGCTCGGTGGCAATTTCGATGTTCATTCGTAAAAAAGAAAAACGGCAATAATCAGGAAAACGAGGAAAAGCGACCAACTTTTTTCATCTCGGGTAAATATAACGATCGAAAATTCAATAAATGTACGCGCGTGCCTGTATAATCAGGCTATAAAGATCAAAGCGAGCAAGCTGCAAAAACGAAGAGGGCGAATTAACGCGTGCACTCGCGCTTACAATTGCAACGGTAATATAAGGTCGCGTTCGTCGCGCGATGAATTCGATGACTTCGTTGCCTAAGGCAGGGACGCAGGAAAAAAATAACTAGTGTAAAAAAGCCACCCTCTTGAATGTACCGTTGATGCAGTCGAATTGTCTTAGGTAGCGCAGAGTCCCGACTTTTCCTGCTTAGACGCAGGCTCTGCTTGTATGTATCGACTCGCTATTACGTAATAGATACAAGGCTGCCGGCTGCACGTCTATATAGTCTATAGATCATCTTCGTCGTGCGTATACTCGTGTATTGTATGCAGACTCACGGCTTCGTGATAATTATACCGGTGAGCGATGCGCGCTCGAAGCTAGATAGCGCGCCTTTGAGCGCTCCGCTTATATCTACATTAATATATATTATACATATAATATATATATCGCTCGCACACACACACACGCACTTTGCCGCAATATCACGATTCACGAGTCTAAGAGAGTCGCAGGCGTACTGCGTCGAGCGGCAGGAAAGGCGCCTCGTTAGTACATTAATAAATACCAGTGTAGGCAGCTTCGGTGGTGGCGGCAGCTACAGCGACTGAAATTGCTATACCAAGGCTCGCCCGTTCTGAAATTTCGCGCGGGTAATTTAATTATTTTCCGTCTACTGCTACATATTACATGCGCCCTTCTCGCTCTCGTCTCTCGTTTATAGAATGATGAAGATGCGTATCGTTACTTTATACGCGTAAGGCGTGTTTATAACGACAGGCATGGCGCGAGCTTCAAAACTTTACACGCTGCACGTATACCAACGACCTATACGCCTCATATACTACACACTCGCGAAATTCTTCTTAACATGCCTCCGTGGCACAGCAGCTCGCTTACTATTTGACTTACTTGCGGCGCGACTCCGCAGCTCGCTCGGGATCTTCTGCCTCTCGCGGCTAAGGGACTGCCTCATTTGGAAATTTTACTCGAGGAACGGCAGTTTTTGTTTTCGCTAGAGAAAATTCGGCTTCGAGTCAGCGCGCGAGTGAGTAAGTGGCCAATAAGAACAATAACCAAGCTTGCGCAAATATTGAAAATTCATCGACGCTCATGGATCTAATTGCAAATCACGATTGACGCATCGTTAATCGAGAAAAAAAATCGTCACGTCTAGTCTTATCGTCTGCGTGTGAATGCGTCGACTCGTATGCCATTAAATGACACCCCATGACAAAAGACACAGATACCAACACTTGAAGAGTAGATAAGACTTTTTTTCGTGTGATTTGCACCGGCGACGCGCGTCCGACGATAAAAATGGCGATTATCAATTTTATAACAGTCTATGATTCCAAAAGTCAACATACCGTATTATAATCTAATGAGTTATCGAAACTACAACCATTCTCTGTTTATAAACGCTTCGATTTTGGTTACAGTGTTCGAACTTGTGATGGACATAACCATGTCAGCTGATTCAAGAAAAAAGTTATTGCACCGAGAGCGGTTAGTCACGATGACGCTATGTAAATGCCTGCCATTCCTGAGATATATCTGCGCCGAGAGCCTCTTCATAATGTATCGATTTTCAAGATTATTTGATTTGAAAAATAAATATTAATTAACATAACATCGATCCAAATATTATTAAAGATATAGTAGGCAGGTATAATTACTCGCAATGCGATACCTCCTCTTTGTTTATTACTGTACGATAGTAGTGTAAACGATAATTAAACGCTATGTCTTTAAAGATCAAGCACATTACAAAGCCTGTTTTACTTATAAAAAAATCTTCATTTTTCAACTTTAGAATGAACCTAGCGTACCTTGACATAAAAATCATTAACAAGGCTGGTCGAATAACTAATGCGAGCTCTATAATATTTGCTTTGTAAAACTTCCTTTGATAAGTTTTGCAACGTCGGACAATACATTACAATTTTTTTACTACTACATTGTCGTGTGATTAAAATTTATTTTTATCTGACTTTTATTATGATAATCTATGATGATCTATTTTATTACCCGGCAATAATAATGATTCATTTTTACAGTAAATCTTTCCAAAAATTGGTTTATTGTTTTTTATGTAAATAAACGCGTATGAAAACCAGTCGTTTAAATCAATCAGATTATTGAAAAAGTTTACTTTATCGTTCGAGTACAAAGTTAATCACGGCTTTCTTTGTTTACTTATCGGTTGTGCATAAAATAACATGACTGTATACTTCTTTTAATTGACTTTTAAACATTTTTGCTGATACAATCGATTTTCTATGAACTAAACAATTGATTCACGCACTTCCACATTTTTGTACGATTATTCAATATAAATAATAAAGTAATTTTTTTTTACATTGTTTGAGCAAGCTACTAAGAGTATAATCGGAATTTCCGATCATTAACTATTATGATGTCTTAATTATTGAAAGATTTTTGAAGTCATTGCTTGCCAAAGTAATGGCTAATCGTACAAGTAGCCGTAAATACGTAGTTAAAAAGATAATCTTGGAAATATTCCACTGCAATTTGATAAATACCTGTAAGATACACAACGATACCGGTAACTATGCGAATAAACTTTTCCGTATTTTTGTAATTTCCGAAAAAAAATAAGAAAAAAATTACTTCGTTGAAATATTAATCGCACAAAAAAACCTGTACTGTAATAAACACGTGAGCTAAACTATCGGTTTTTAATGTTCATTGCACTCAGAATATTGGTTATTCGATATGTTATAACTCATGTTTAATCAATCGGTCTAATTTGTCATAATTTTTAAGGTCACTTTTTTCGCACTGAATGGGTAACGCGCACAACTCGCTTTTATAGCAATAACTTTACCTCATGTGGCAACAATTTACACACGCCACGTTATAAATCTCGTTTAAAAAAAATAATACCTTTATCGTCTTCTCCTCTTCATTGAACTTGGTTTCTTTTTGTGTTTTCAAAACTATTTTATAACTAGAAACACGACGCTCGACTGTCCCCGGTAATAATGAGAAGTCACGCGTGTTCGCTACCGGCTTTATAAAATTTTGTCGCGTGAGCCCCTACTACCTCTCTCGCGATCATAGGTAGGGATTTGTGAATGGACTTGAATTATCTCTTGAATATAAAAAACAGCCAACATCAGTTTTTGTATAGGCATTGCCTCTGTTCATGTCATAAAAAAGTTTTGTTTTTTTATCTTATTAGTAATTGATTGCTTTTGCTTGATCTTGCAGATTCTTAGAGATAAATTTTATTTATAAGGTTTATTTCATGAAAATGTTGTGTTGGTGTCTATCTTCTTTGCGCTACTTACTTCTGAAATTTAAATTCTCTTGTTTTGTGATTACGAAGACAGTTTCTTTTTTTAAATGTGGACAAGAAAATCCGTTTTCTCGAATGGTATCAAAGAAAATCTTTTATTTAAATATGTGACGAACAAAATCATTCATACGATTTTTAATGAAAATTTTTCGAACAAATTCAAATGATTCCTTCTAAAGGAAAAAAATTTTTACATAAAAAAACATGTATGTAAAGCAGTTGAAAAAAAAGATCGTAATCAACGCAATTTTCGGTTCTTAGATATTCTTTGTAAGCATCAATGTTATATTAGCAAATGTGCTAATCTTAGTAAATTAAACACGATCATAAATAAAGATGGAAAAAGTTATAATCTCACTAATTAAAATGTAATTAGAAAATAAATTTTAAAGAAATCGAGTACCAATTAAAAGGTGATACAAGCGCTTCCTTAACGATGATATGATTTATCTCTATATCTTTGATCCATAGAACCTTTGTTGCACTGCTTTGTGATTCATTTGCCGGGCATTTTTCGGAAACTTTACAGTGATTGAGGTATTTTATTTTTATCTATGGTCCCCAAAAATATTTTGGTTAATTGACTTTGTCTGAAATGATTGCAGGAAAATGAGTAAATATTATATTTGACACTTTTTTTAACACTTAATTGAAACTAGCCCTATCTATCGATCAGCGCGTCATTTATATTTACTCTTCGAACATTTACAGTAATTTTACGTATGAGGGATATGTTACATATTGTTTGAAATTGATATTAATATAGGATTTTTAGATTGCCTTTAACAGAGGAATTCTTTATAAACATGATATCGCCTTCGAATTATTTATTCTAACTTGACTAAAATGTATAGTGAGTGATTTCCGTGATTAACTCGTGACTACATATTACATTTACTCAACACAACTTTACGCTGAAAAAAATCCTAGGGGCTAGTCCAACAAAAGTGGACAGCTGAATCAGAAAAAGATTATATTCTCTTTCTGCCACAGCAAAATAATTTTGCAAAATTTAGCAGCCAAATATAGCACAATGATTTTGTTCTGGTAGCAGAATATCTTTTTCTAATCCTACTGTCCACTTTTGTTAAACTCGCACCTAAGATTTTTTCAGTATACTTTCAGTCAATTATTTTATCATGTTTACTATTAATAATTCGACATACGACAACATCCGACTATAAGATTTGTGTATAGATTGCACCGAAATTGACTGACTCAAAAAAAATTGATTGTGTGGACACCAAACCACATTGTATTTATTACTTTTGTTGAGCTGAAATTAATTATCAATAATTTTAATGGGCATATGTGTACAAATGTTAATATCTCGATTTCTTAGGTTATGAAAAATGTGGTGAAAAATTTGTTTAAGAAAACTGTGATTTCAAGGCTCAAAATCAGTGTAATAAGTCTTTTAGAAGCTGAAATATTTATGGAGATACTAAAGGTTTATCCACCGTGAAAGCTTTCCCCGTGCAATGGACGATAAAATTCCACGCAATTAGGACTAATGGGTCAAAAAAATTGTTATCAACAAATGATTTGAAAATAATTTAAAAAATGTTTCAAATATTTTTCAAAAGTATTTATGAAAAAATTGTTTAAAAATTGAATTTAAACTGAAATTTATTACGAGTGAAGTCATTTAAATAGATTATTGTGAAAAATAAAATTATTATGCAAAACGACGTGTGAGTTTGTAAATACTTCCCTCGGAAACCAAAAACTTTAATTATTGGAAAAATTTTATAGTATTTGTTAGAATTTTATAAATTTATGCATATTTTTAACAATAAAAAATATTTATATGAGATGGAGTAAATAGGTTGGAAATTGATATGAATAATCATAATTGAATTGATTACCTTTTGATTATCTTTGTATATATAATATTTATTATATATATTTATGGTTTTTACAAGGCACATGTAGCTTACACACTTATATTATCGCTCTGTACATCACACGTATTAAAACGCACACGTATTTATTATAACTATTGCTTTTTACATGTATATAGGATTGGAGAAATTACAAATACATCTCAATCAACTTGCACCACCTGTCATCCTTTTATACTTCAGATATCTTATAATTTTTAGTCTTAAAATTATTTTTATTAATTTCGTTATCCTTATTATATTATAATCATACGCAATTTTTCAAGCAAACGTACTGAAAAAAATCTTTGATTTACATAAAAATAATTAGCTTATCGATTTTATCAATCGTCAAACTCGTACTAAAATCTTTAATTCGATCAAATTCAATTCTCCTTCTAAAAATTAAAAACATAATCATTATTTAAGAAAGAAAAACAAGGTTTAAGAATTTTATTCCAAAAATTTTTGCTTTTCGGCGTTCTAATAAATGAAGTATCAAGCCACCCTCAATTTTTAATGAGGTTTTGTAAGAACCATTCAGAATACATTTGTAGCAGTGATAAAATATAATGTCGATAAAAAACTGGAGGTAACAGCTTCATAACTGGAACTAAGTCCCGAAGACGTTTTATGCGCGCTCTTGCAGTATAGTTAAGTCAAAGTACCTCTTGATGATAAAAATTGTAATCGTCATTAAAGTCAAAATATTAGCTCAGCACACGCATATTCAGTAGAAACAAAATTCGGTACTATAACGAAAATAGTCTTTATATATAATGCATCGTATTGGATTGATCAGTGTTACCGCGTAGGATTGCTGAATCATCTTACTAATCATGAAATTTAACCGTTCGGAAAAATGACGTTTATACGTTGTCATTGGATTTTTGAGAAAATGATTGAACAAAAAGAAGGAATTTCTACGTTTGCTGATTTAGGAAGTGACTGCAGTGCTTAAGTTTCGATTCTGACATAGATCTGGTTTCCGAGACAATTCAGTTCGAGGCGACGCAGTCTGCCGCGCAAAAAGTGTTTTTTTAACGGTACATTCTCTCTTTCCCTCTTGTACGCGCGCAGTAAATACCGGTCACGACATCCTTATCTCATTTTCGAGTATGCGAGCAAGAAGTTTGACGGTCGAGCTGGACACAGCAACGCATCGGTATATATAATAACATACATAATAACTCGTCGTTTTCTCGGGCGCGCGTCGATGTATCGATCAGCGAGATCAAACATGTGCGCCGAAAAATGAAGTGTTCGACGATTCGATTTAATCTTAACTGCACATGTAACGTTTTTGGCATATTGATTGTGCCACAATGATAAAATATGCTGAATAATGCTGGCGTAATACTCTCTCGATTTAATCATTATGTTATATTACTTTGCTGGACATACACATGCGTGTGCTACCAACGTGGGTATAATCGTCTCAGAAATATGGTAATTTAATTTTGAAAAAATTTAATAAAATTAAAATATTTCAAAAAGCTTTAAATAGTTTGTGCTCGACAAGCGTGGAAGAAGATTATTCGGAAGATATTTCGTCATGAAACTCAGTTTCTCGACCGTTGCCCTACACATATGCACAGAAGTGTATTCTATTTCATCGAGTCATCAAATTAATGATGCTTTCACACGTTAGGTAAGTAAATAGGTCAGAGCGTGAAATTTCAAGCGTCGACAATAATTTATTTTCGCGATGCGTTTGCACATCGGAAAAAAATACCTCAAGTAGTTTTTTTTTGCAGCTCGTTTGTAATGGGGTTCTTTTCAACGAATCGAATGTCTTTTAATCGGTGCGCGCGCGAGCGATATAAAAAAGCCCGTCCACGTCAAGATTTTTATTCCGTTCAGCGATTGCGAGGCTCCTGGCGCACACACCCACAGGCCTTCACAAAGAATTTCGATCAGCATAAGCAAACCCTTTTTTGCTCGTGGGCGTCTTTCTGCAGAAAGTAATTTCTATCGTTCATTGATTATTTGCTACATATTATATAAAAGCTGGCTGGCAGGATTTTTTTTCTTCTCTGTAAAGCCAGTAAAAAGGCCAAATAAACCTAACAGTCTCATTAAGATAACGAAAAAAAGGAGCGTACGCGTGCGCGGCGTTGTATATAGTAGAAAGCTATTGCGGAGCTGTTTAAAAAAGTGCACTAGGATCGATTATATAGTCACCCGGTATGATTGCTCGTAATTGCCCCTTGATTGAAAAAGCTTCGATTCCATTTTTCACTCGCTCTTCATTCTTTCTCGCTTTTTCTCTCTTCCACGGCTCTTCGTAATTGAATTACAAAAGATTGAAATGCGCAACAAAAAAAAGGCGAGCGTTGCAATTTTAATAAAATTTCATCGCATCGGGGCATGCGTGTATCGTTAAACAAATTCCTCCATATACAAGGCTTCATTCGTACGTGCTCGAAGGCCGATCAGGCGCGCTCTATTGTTGCCCTTGAATTTCGTTAAAGTTGCCGTCAAGTTTTGCAAATAATGAACGGTCCTCGGAGGCAAAGTGCATAATACATCGGTGCGTCGGCTACAATGGAGGCGGTCGACGCTCGTACAGTCGAGGAGAGAGCGAGAAACGATCAAAACAAGACCCTTAAAACTCAATGCTTTGACCTCATTGCAGCTATTATTGGTCGAAATCAAGTTTGCGGTGAGTCGGCGGGGCAGCGCGCGTTAGCCACTCGGCATCTCGTTATCGGCTCTGCTCCATACTCTCGTGCGTTCGGGGTTCTTTCGGCCCTGATATACCCTCGAAATCCTCGCGTCAACTTCACTCGACGTAGTGCCGCGTATACATATATGTGCGGGTGTGTGTACGCACGTGCGCCGGCAAACCAGAGCCGAGGCTTCATTACAACAACCGAATTGCCGCGATAGAATGTTTCGCGTGCGGATCTCATTAAAGCGGCTTGCGCCGCCTCGACGCGCCTGCACACGTACATAGGTATAAATACGTGTCTGGGACTTTGTCAGGCCTGGGGCTCGACTATATGTGCATCGTGCGTTTGGCAGTGTAGCGCTTGTAATTATCAGCTGGTATTTTCGTGCAACCGTAAGCGCAGCTAATACCAATTCGAGTGATTTTCACGCGCACACGCGCACATATAGCAACTAGCACGCTCCATAGAGCCGCCGCATATACGTCGCACAAGTAGTTACACTTGTCACGATATCGTTCTTACGGTACTCTACGATTGGTATAAAAAGCCCGGCGCACGTAACAACTTGGAGCGAGCCAGAGTCAAACGACGCTAATGCCATAGGGCTGACGATCGACCGACAAAAAATCAAATTTCCAAACTGGCGCTCGTGCAAAAGCTCCGCGAAGAATGCACACACGTGCTCGTACAAAATGAGCTCGCAAAGCGTTAGAGAACGATCGATCATGCGCGCGGACTCGCCATGGGCTGCGGCTGAAGCTCTGCAGTATATACGCGCGAAAAGAGAATCGTTGACCTCTATTCATTGGGATCTCTGCGAATGTATAGATGCAGCGCTCGCTTCGGTCTTTGATTCCTAGGCGCGCGCTGCGAGCTTGCGAGCTTGTATAGTAAAAGAGCTGCCTCTGTGCGCGCCCTTTCAGTTTTCTCAGCAGCTCGCACGTGCATGCGAGCTCGCCCCCGAGTACAGACAGTTTTAAGCCTTTTCTTTTTCATTCTTTACCTCAGTGAGCTCGATCTCTTCTACGTGAGAGCGGAATTCACTTCTTTTTCTGCTTCTTTTTTTTCTATCGAACTTGACTTTTTCTTTTCCGCTTTTACCCAAGCTTTTTTTCTCTTAATTTTTCTTATGAATTCTCGGATTGTGTGTCTTTGATTGTTAAAAGGGTTAACGCTGTGATGTTGCAGCTCATGATATAGTTGTATGCCAACTGCTAGTACCACCCAGCCACGCATACGTATTACCCGCAGGCTAAAAATCTCAATGTATTCCCTTTTATAGCTTGATTTTTGACCCGAATAATTTGCATCATTATTTTGTACGAAACTGTAGACATGAATTTTTCAAAAACTTTATTACGTCCAACTTGATTTGTTATTTTCCTTAAATTAATTTAATTTTAATATAGGGTGGTCATATTGATACTTCAAGATAAATCATAAAATAACCATTTGCAAAAAAAATGATTACAGAGCCACGAGTTTGATGAGTTTTGTAAAAAAAATTGGAATACTCAGCTTTTGTCGGAATTAAATTGAAATTAAACGTTGTGATTTATAAATAAATCACCCGTAATTTTTGCACAGATTTTTTGTTTAAATATCGGTGTTTACTTTTTATATTCAATTGATTGAAAAAAAATGAATGATTCTTTACTATGTATATTTTCAGTTACTGGAAAGAATACTGGAAAGATATTCATTTGTGAATGTCGATAACAAAAATATTTATTGGATTAATTAATGTTTCATTTTTTCGTCAATACCTTACGCCCAAATATGAACCTAAAGCGAAGTTACTTGATGAGTAATAGCTTATATACTATTTCAAAGACGTTTAAAACTTAAAATTGTGGGGTATCAAAGATACGATGCAGACTTTGAATTACATTATGATTTTGAGAAAATTTCGTTATTACACATGTCAATGAACAATATAACATCTCATCTCCCCGTCGATTGAAAATTTTTTCAAAAATATCGAGTAAATCAATCATCAAAGCTGTATTTACTAAAAAATTCATAGAAACAAATAATGAAATACAGCCTCCGTTTTGATGTGTAGATTCGATCTATTAAATTTTTACAGAGATTAGATATACATAACAGTACTTTTATAGTACCAAAGGTGGCACAGACTTCAAATCTGTACTTTACCTTCACGCATTCTCTTAACAAATATATGTACATGCAAACATTTATACATACGCTAAGTTATCCTATCGAAATTTATTTATAATAAATATTTATTGCTTATTGCTTTTTTTAGATCGTGATGCTACGCACGACGGACAAGTGTAAATAGCCCTCGGCCTTCGTTATCATTGTATTAAATCATATGGATAATGGCAGATATGGCTTTTTATTTTTATTTTGTTAACACCTCGAGTATATCACATTTTCGTTTCTCGAGTTTTTTTCAGAGCTCAAACGCGCACAGCCGGGATATAATTTCAGGAAATTCGAAGCCCGAATTATATCGAGCGCAGTCGTAATCAGAGGTGAGAAATGCGTCGAGGAAAAAGGTAGAAAAGAAAGCGGGAAAAAGAGAGATGCATAAGCCGGCCGCAAGTAGGTAAAAAGGCTTTTCTGATCCTGTGTGTACACCCTTCTCCCCACGTATACCCTACAAGCAATTTGTGCGCTCAGCTCGGCACCGTAGACGCGTCTCTTTGTAGCGAAAAGCGAGAAAAAATAAGGAGGAAAGGAAAGAAAGAGGGGGTGGGGGAAATTTTCTCGTGTCTGCAAATTTATCTCTGACCGTTAAACGAGCGCACGGCCAAAGAAATTCGCGCGTCGAGAAACTGAACGATGAAGCCGATCGGACTGCGTGCACCGCAGAGACTCTAAATTAATCACAGTTACAGTAATTTACATATCGTCATTGTCCGCGGTTTTGGAGATGAAAGAGAAGGACTTTCTCTCTCGGTCTCTGTCTCCCTTGGTTCACTTTTTTTCTCTTCGCACAAACTGCAAAGAAATTTAATAGACACTTGCGGTGCGGACACAAGAGTTGAACAAAGAATTGTGATTACTTTTGCTTCGAGCGTATACGAGTACACACACAGCTCACGAAGTTATGTAGCCTAGGTGTGTGTATATGTGTAATTGGGGGATTCTGCATAGGTGAAAATGTTGCAGCTGTGTATTGCTGTTGACTGTGTGGCTCCGATAAATTTCCATTTCAAAGGCTTTGCACGGCATATACACGCTAATATTTCTTGCGGTGCATAGTATCGAACTCGCTATTCTCGAGAGCCTATATTTTGAAAAGCGATCCCTTTTTTCTCGCGCATAGCGCGACTTGAAGATATTCTATGACTCGGCGAATAACTTTCATCACGGCTAAATTCGATTAATTAATTTTTTTTTCTTTGTCTCGACGATTTATTTCCCGAAACGAGAGTTTTGTCCGTCGCTGCGAGAATCATAACTTATCAATCTACTGCTTTAACTACCAATGTATTGCATTAGATCACATCCTTAATCGATTATCCACTTCGGGATTATTATACATTTTTATACTCGTACATTTGGTAGTTTTGTAATACTCAACGATTTAAAAACAACAACCTACTGGTACATTCATTTTTTAATTTGATTCATGCATATTCAAACATTCAGCACTTAGATTTTGGTAGAGTCTTGTATTTCGACCTACCATCTTCGGGTCAGCTCACTCGGTGCAATCTTGCTAAAAGGTTGAAAACTTTTCGTTTCTGTGATATGACCTTCTTCATAAAAATTCATTTAGGTTCTTTTTCCAATTTTGATTTAAATATTATTTTAACCATTTAATGCTTATTTCAGCCAAACGCGATGTACTTAAAAATTACGGTTAAATCACTCGTTTTAATCACTTAATAATTATTGCTTAAAAATTATAAGGTAGTAGAAAAAATTTATATAATATAATCTGGAAGAAAACTAGAAAGAGAGAGCACGCGAGCTTATCACGATTCATTTATTCCACGATAAAAGAGCGATTTTAATGTCGATACGCATCGAGCGTGTCATAACTAGTCGCAACTAACGGTTAGTAATTATTGTTTTTCCCGTTTAAACAACATCCTCATCGAAGCACTTTAACGTCGGCTCTTTTTTCTAGCATTTTTACTTTTTTTTTTTTTTGAAATCACTTTTTCACGTCAATCATTTGATTTTTTTTTCTATGAAAAATACACTTTGTACATGTATACAGAGACGCGCGTACGCGTATATACAGGAGAAGAGGCAACTAATCATGAAGCTCGCGTTTCACGAAATCACCATAGTCATCCGTATACAGTATACGGCATATAGCTGGCACAGAGAATAGCTATACGACTGTATAGCCGCACGACTAGTTGTTGCAGTGCACGCCTGTACGCGGCTGTACGCGCGGATATCTATGCATTATTGTACACATAGACAGGGGGGCAGCGCATGCAAGTAGCGCCAGCGAGAGAGTTAGTAACGCACCCAACTGACAATGCCACGGGATGAGATTTCATTGAATTAGCGCGCGAGCGAGCTTGCCACGGGGCTGCACGCGCACATTTATACATACACCTGTTATATATGCTATACAGCCGACGGACGGACACAATACGGCCCCGCGCTTGGCTGCTGATCCAAATCAGCAGAATTGCACAGCGTACGAAAGCTCAAACGTTCTCTCTCTCTCTCTCTCTCGGCAAAGTATACGTTATATTTACACGTCGACGTGTTACGAGACTATGTTACACGTTCGTAAATCCAGGTCAGCCGTACTGCGGCGTGCAAGCTCCGAGTCGCTCGGAGGCGAGCCCGCATTGCCGCATGTAATATACTTTTCGTTTGTTCGCGTTGGGCCTTCGATGTACCTGCAACTTGCTTTAGACTACCTCACTCCGTATAGTGGCAGTGGTGGATGAGCGACTGGTCGTTCGCCGTAGCAATTAGAATCACCTGTACGCTACCAGAACGAACATCAGAGTACAGAGCGTCAAGTAGATGGATTGTCCGAGGCTGCTGGCGCCGTCCACGCATTGACCTGCAAAAGAGAGAAACGAATCGTTGAAAGCTCCTATAGTTGCGGGGTGCCACGGTGTCAAGGCTGCAGCTGGGCGCGAGTGCACTCACCTATGCTGGTGGCGTTGAAGGCGAGTAGCGGCGCCGGCGAGGGCATGCCCCGTTGGCAGGCCACCGAGCTCGCCGACAGACTGACGACTCCGCCGCTCTCGCGATACATGAAGCAGAGCCGACGCGTGTTGCGCAGCGGCTGGGCCCGGGTCACCTCGGGTATTCCCGACCAGGCGGGCGGTGGCCGTCGCACCACTTGCGTCGCTATCACGAACTGAGTTCCCTCGGCGTCGAACCAACGCCCGTGGCACGAGTAAGCTGCAACAAGTCAATCGGTCTATAGCAGGACACGTTTACGCTTGCATCGGTCGCTTATATATACGAACAGGTCAAGTTCCGAAGCAGATGGACTGCGATTGATCTTAATGCGACTGTTTCGTCGATAAGGCTAGTTGATTACCGCCAGCTAAACGTGAAGTTGTCTTGTGTTGTGCCTCTGTCGATCGAAGCTTTGTGACTTTTTATGAGCGTAGCAAATGAGCAAAGCGGATTTTTCGTTAACGCGTTCGATATAAGCTATTCTGATATCACGAAAATTGAGGTCGTTGACCACGGGCACATAACGGGCAGAAAAATAATACAATGCAAGAGTCAACAATTATTGAATCCTCGTAACGCAGTACACAAGACGACATAACAAAGCGTATCAGAATTCAGTTTATATAAAGAGCGCGGGAAAATAGGAGCGTGACACGAGGCAGGCAGAAGGAGGAAGTAATTTGAGACCGGGACTGGCATTAGTTGGGCGAATTTTCAATTATTCAGATAGTTTCGAGTTGTGCGTTGTACCGCAGATTTTGCGTGTTTCAGCCGCAAGCGCGAGCGCGCGCAACTTTGTTCGATACTCGGCCTTTGAATATCAAGCGCGCGTATACGCCCCCTCGCTGCCATCTATCCGGCCGCGTGCCTCGTAATTAACCGATATTGAAGCTCAGCCGCGCGCGATTTTGTCACAATGTAGCTGGCTGCGCGTATATACGTACAAACTAATATAAAGCTTTCGTTGCCAAGATATCGGTTACCTCGCAAGGGAGGCAAATATAGATAAAAGCTCGCTCTTGCAGCTGCTTACCGATGTCTTCTTCGACGCAATCGCTTTGAAATTCCATCCTATCGGCCGTCGAACAGCCGACCGTCAGTGTCGTTACGTCGGAGTTACACCTGCGCGGCTCCTCCTCGAGCACGTCTTGACGTTTCCTTCGGCGTCTTCTGCGCTCCTCGTAGTCTTGATAATCCTCGTCCTCCTCCTCGTCCACGTCCTCTTCGTCTTCCTCCATATCTCGCTTCATTCTCAATAGATCCGAGTAGCCGAGGTTGCTGGGATAAACGCGCTGCTCGCGCTGCTGCCTCTTCTTTTTCCTCGCTACCCAGCTGAAGTGTTGCTGACCGCCTGGGGCTGCCGCCACCTTATCGACTACCATTTGCCGACTTTTCGTCGTGTCGTCCGTATCTGCCTGAAAGTCACCTACTTGGGCTTGACGTTGAGATCTGTGTTTCGCTGCAAATATTATTTTCCTCTTTTACAAAAATATACAATCCTTTGGAAACTGCGTGCAAAGAAATATACAAGTGACTTACTCTTAAAATGTGCTTCATCAGCACGATGATGAGCTTCCGCAAGACCAGCCGCCTTGAGCCAGAGTCTCTCTTGGGCGAGCCTTTGTTCTAGGCTCGATTCCAATTCGCTGCCATGGATTTTCGGTTGAGCTTTCTGCTGCTGCTGTTGTTGTTGGCTTCCCGACCTGACTCGCCGCCTCGCCTGCTGCTCGTGCACGAGGTATTGATTGTTGCCGCGGCGCTTCTCGATCTCGAACTCGAGCTTGCGTTCCTGTCCGTGTCTCGCCTGCTCATTCTTTGTGGAGTAGCTTTTAAAGCCACTACCGATGCCGCCACTGCTCTTCTTCGGGGCGTGACCGTTCAGGCTCGTTACAGTAAATTTGCCTAGATAGGGGCATTGACGGGGCTCCGGCGAGCTCGCTGAAAACACACAAAAACATCGTAGACCTGTTAGTCTCAAAAATCGTTTGAAGTTTACAATGTTTTATAAACTTACGAGTAAAAAATACATAATTAATTGAAAAAAATCTATGGACCAGGGTGAATTAATTTTTAGGATTTGTTGATAGTCGCAATTTACGAAAAAGAGAGACTGAGACCTGAATTTCAGACAGAGGGAATCGAGTCGAATCAGGCTGTAATCGACTTTTACGACAGAGAGAAATAGACATACCAACGCATACACACACATACTCACGGAGAGGAACTGGCGCATCCGCACACAGTCCGAAGTTTGAGTAGAAGGAGATAAATGTGAATGGATAGATAAAGCAGCCAAGCACCCTGGCAGGCTATATAAAAGTTCCTTTTCTCGGTCCAACAAACAACTTAAGCCAATGAATTCCGTTGCAGTATACATATACAAGCAAAGGCTGGATCGGGAATGACGCCCGCCGACGCCACAGCCGCGGGCTACATAAATACACACATGCACGTGCGCAAGCTCGCAATTTTACTCTATGTACTCGGCTGTGGCTGTTCGTAAACCTTCGCCACATAAATATACGTCGGTGTACTCTCCTCGTTCGAGCTCTCTTTTTCTTTCTCTGGCTCGCTCTGCTCGTCGAAACTATTTAGTGAAAAGAACCTAATTATCGTATCAACCGGATTCGGATAGGGTGAGAACTGTTGCACGCGCGGGGCCCGTAACCAGACGAATTTCCCTCCATCCTTCACTCTTTCGAGTTCACAAATGGAGTGAATGAATGCGTTAAGCACGAAGAAAGGAGAGAAAAGGAACTCGAGAATCGAAAATGAAAGGAAAGAGGGAAACGTGGAAAAATGAACGTCTAGTCGACAATAGGAGGAAATGAACATGCAGAGGCAAGCGAGAGAGATATATCCACACAGCACCGATGCTGCATCAGGTATATATAGAGAGAGAGACAATGTAGAGCTTCGAAAGTCACCAACTGTCTTTATCTCCTTAGGCTTGAACGAAGTTTCAGCTGTTTTTTTTTTCGTTGAACTCGAACAAACCGTACTGTGGATACAATTCTACATAATAAGTTAGCTCTTTCAATCTTTACAATCAGGTATAAGTTCAAATCTAAAAACAAGAATGGATCCTCCAGCGAATGAAAGGCAGATAGAGAGAGAGAGAGAGCTTAACTCGATACTGCCAATGAAAAATGTTTTAACGAGGTCTAATTATGGAGGCTACATAGCTCGACTCTTTGAAAAAAATAAGATATTATTTGCATAGATTTTGGTTCATCAATGCGACTTTTCCGAGAAGTGACTGAATGTTATTTCCAAAAGTTTTGCAGCGAGCGTTAAATGACGACTCTTTTGCTATCATCCATAATACTTATTTAATCAAAAGAAAAACTTTTTCCATGACTCATCAATATTTAAACTCGGATAAAACATCTTACTTTTTATCCTCGTTCGCTTTTGATATTATATATTCATATACACATATAGGCATATAAGAGAGAAAAAAAGGAGCTGCTCGCGAGCGTATTGACGTAAATAAAAATGTATAAACGACGAATCTTATTTACGCAGTATTTGAAACAAGCAAAAAATGCTGGAAACTGAGGGAGTGAGAAAGATGAAGTGGCATAGTAGACGTGAGCTGGTGAACACCCGTAATAGAAGGAGAGCGAGCGAGAGAAATACGTGAATCAGCCCTAAGGACACACAATGCAAACTATAACGAGACAAATCCGACGACTTGCCTGGGGGTTTACCCCTTATATACCTTATATAGAGACGTGCAGCCGTCTTTTTTCTTGACTGCCGCTGTGAGCTTTCAACTTTGAAACTCCACAACGAGCCTTCCCAGTCGCTTTCTCTCTCTCTCTCTCTTTCAGTCGGCGTTTTTTCCTCCCTTTCTTACTTCAAACCAACGCACATATACATTCGTTCGCACACACCCTACGTAGTTCACAGCCAGATTTAAGTCTAACAGCACAACCGTGTCACGCTGCTGAAAGAACGATGCACTCCAGAGGTTTCTACCTGCAACCTTTCTCTTTCCTCCTCTTTCGTCTTAATATTATATAAAATGAACGATGAACCGCCCGGTCCTACGTGTGTGGCTGCTACTGTTGCTGTTTCTGCAGCGAAGGCGAATCTGCCAATTGACTGAGTGCTCCTAAGACGCGCCGAGGCATACATTCGTCGCTTTGTCTTTTATCGACTTCAAGCGTTACGTACCAGTTGATAAATATCATCTTAACGCTATGATGACAAGATGTTAGATGCGACGATTGGTGAGATGCGTTATATATTTCATACTATAAATGCTAACTCGATGAATCGCTTGGCTCGCAGCACATTTTTTTCATTTTTTTCATTCGCTTATTTCACTGCCGTTGGTATAAACTCGCGATATAATCGATATAACCATAGCTATACGGTACGAATTACCGACGAATCCACTTTTTCCATTATCTTTGCTAATGCGTTTATAAATAAATGGCCGATTCTTTTCAAAATCAAATGCAATAGAAAAGTCCGACTCGGCTTCGCCTCAACCGCTAATTACACCCACTCTAGGATTTTTCTGTTTTTCGGACAGTAAAATACTATATTTTTTACTCCATACACGTCTCCAAATTTTAGTAGATTTTTCTAAAATTGCTAAACCTATAGTAAAAAATTTGAAAGTATAAAAACAAGCGAAGAAAAAACGCCATAAAGGTCGAAAAACGAAAAACTTTAAAAAATAGTCTATTTTTTTCTTTTCTACGTTTAAAGTTCAAAAACGTGTATGAAATCAAAACAAGTAAAAAGTCAAGTTTAGGTAATCGAACCAATAGTTTGTCAAAGTTTATACCTTCCTATACCTATAAGAATTTTTACAGAATTTTCAATTGAGTTTTTCACTTATAAAAATTCATGAAAATGAAAAAAAACGTGTTTTACCAGTGAATGAAACATTCGATCCAGTGAATGAGCGCCGTGAAACCAGTAAATGAATGTAGAAATATAAGCATACGTTGATTTAATAATCAATATAGACTGTAATATATCACCTTTTTAATTGAATAATAAACTAAAACATAAATTTATCATTCAAACCAATCTCTGTGGCGACGCACTTCAGAGCGTTCGCACATATATATTTTTGATGAGCCGCGATTGTTTAATAATTACGTTTTGTTTGTTGCTTGGGAGATCTAAGAAAATTTTGTTTGAGCCTCAGTTTGGTTGCGACAGTCACAGAGAGAAGATCTCAATAAATTCATTAACCGTTGTTCGATAATTTATTGTAGTTTCATTATTCATCACTACAAATTGGTGACCCCGACTAAGAATTCATTGTCTCTTTAGTAACTTGCGAGTACTAAAAAGCAATATTTTCGGCTGCCACATTTTCGCTTTCAATTTTTTTGTACAATGGTTTTGGAGCGCGATGATGATCTTCGTCGCAACGAGCAACAGCAACGCCTTGCAGAGCAACAGCGCATCGAGCAGCAACGCATCGAGCAACGCATTGTCGCCCAGGTCGGACAGTTCTCTTTATTGCCATATTGCCATGATAAAATAAGGGCACCTTGACATAATTAAAGTATTTCAAGGTCATGTTATGATTTTTCATGTTGTAGGACAAGTTTTGATGATTTTTTAGGGATCTTTTTTAAAAATCTGTTTTATTTGAGTAGAGAAGAACCATTTTACAAACATTTTGATGAGGATTGGTTCAAAACTCCAATCAAAATATGCTTATATTTGTACTTTCATTTACTGGGCAAGTGCGAACTATTCGCCACACCAGTAACTGATAGTTGAAAAAGAGTGAAATGTTCTAATTAAAACTTAATTTTCACTGGAAATGCAACTGTTTAACATATAAATGACAGATTTAAAGGTAACTAGTCCGTTATAAAAGGTTTTGAGCTGCTCATTCTTTTACAGTTGATCTTCCAAATTTTAACGATCTTCAGCGATTATGTACAAAATGACCGTATTTTACGGCTCAGCGAACGATGCGTTCGTAAATTAATTCCTATCGTTCAACTATATTGATTCGGGACCTGATAACCATTCGAATAGTTAGCAATAATACCCAAGAATATCATAAAAATTCGTCGTTCATGAATAATGTCGTTATCAATTAATAATTTTTATTTAAAAAAGTGCTTTCATTCACTGGTATGCTTTCAATCACTGGGTAGGTGACTATATTTATACATGTTGTATCTATAGAGCGTGTAGAACTTGAAAACAGCCACAAAAATCTCATTATTTTTATAGTTAATTAGAGGCAAAAGCGCATGTTGAGTTGACTCGTCTTAAAGTTCTATCAAAGACCTGTGGGTTTGTGTCTATACATTGTAGGCTTCATAAGTCGTTCCCTTTTCCTCGAAGACGTTGTGGTGACGACTACGAGATGTCGACTTGATTTTTCCGGCTCATTAGGTAATTTCCTGGGTTTTCTCTCGCTTATACCCTCCGAAGGGACTGCTGCTAGACGATTCCTTTTACTGTAACTTCGTAGAATGTACGCTTGACTCGACGATAACGGTGAAAAGCTGCCACGCTCTTGCATGTAGTACACTTTAAAACTTGTGCGCTGATCGCAGAAAAACTTGTATTCAACTAGTTCGTAGCATTTTTTAATTTTGGTACTTAAGATTTTGGGCACATGATGTTTAAGCAATACTAATCTCACGAGCTCTATTTTTCAATACTCATTGGTTTTTTTTAAAATGCTTCCGCAAAGTTTAATTATAGAAAAATAATTATTGAAAAATCTTAATGTTTATTCAAAGTTTCAGTGGGAAAATCGAAAAAAAAGTGATAATCCATGTAAACGAGCGAATGACTAGCGCGATATAGCTTTAAAATTTAGAAAACGAAACAAACCGAGCGCGAATTCACGTATCCTAGACTGCGTGTCTGTCCATACTCTACGCATATATATTAGGCGTTGCGGAGCGAGATACGTGTACACATTACGTGCAAGT